CTGGATCCCTTCCTTGGAAGGAAATTATAATAAATATTAAGGAAGAGAAGAGTTATTTTTTTCCTAAAATTGTGGCATCTTCACATATTGTTGCTCAGAATCTCTTGCTTGTTTAAGAAGTTGGCAAATCTTAGTGATGTAAATCATTTGGGACAACAGTATAAAAATGAGGTTCTAATGTGCTTTAACATTGTTTACATGTAAGAATTTTAATAAGCAGTGTTTAAAGAAACTACTTAATTTTATGTAGTTCCTCACAAATCTCTTATACTCAGTAAATATGGGGGAGTGTAGAAGATTATAACAATGTTCACTGTAATGCATACATGTATTAAAAGCCTTCCTTAAGGCACGCACTATGGGTTCCATTGTCATACTATTAATAAGATTATGAAGAGCAGTTTGCCCAGATTCTTCAGGGCCTATGCCACCATGCTGGGTTGTGCCGAGCTCAGATTGAAGGATGGAATGGAAGGAAGGACAGAAGTTCGGTGTCCCATTAAAGCGGAGCCTGTATATGACAATCCTAAAAAAAGGTTCACATTATATTTTAAGCTACCAAAATCAATAATAGTTGCCTCAAACAGAACACTGAAGGTTGCTAATTTGCTATATTTAATTTAGCAAAGTTGCATAACATATATTCTGATTCTAAATGTCACATAAAATCAGTAGTTTATACAGTGCTTGTATATTTTTAGAAGCATTGATGATGTAGTGGATACTTTTTTGGATGCTTGTTTATTACATGCAGCACTGTCTGAAACACCTATATATCGTGTTTCCTTTATCTGGAATCTATACTGTATGTAAGGGAAAATCTTACATTGATTAAAACAATGGACAACTTTACAATATTTAGAAATTCCTAACAGAACTGAGCAGTAAATCAAAATTGCTTTCATCTGGACAACATTACCAATTCTAGGCATAAAGAGGACATCAGAATTCCCAGCACTTGGTTCTTTCTACTTGTAATGATAATTCATCTTCTTATAACAGTTTTTTATTGCGTGGTGGCTTGGTGGTCGTATGTATGACGTCATTTACTTGGACTTTTAGGAGTGACATCATATGTACGGCTGCTAAACTGCTGCATGGGACATCATTTAAGCAGTTTTCTTCAGAAGAAATAATACTGATCACTTACAAGATTTGCCGTATATCCTGATTATTAAGTTGTGGATTATTTATTTCTCTTTAATAAAAAATATTATTTTTATAAACAAGATATTCTACTTTACTGCACTTATTATTTTTCATACTTCCATCTAAAATAGCTGATGGATGGGAACATTTCTTTATTCAGTACTGTAGCTGCTAATGAAATAATGGATTATTTAAATGTTAGTTTTCTTTAATGGCATAAATTACATTAGAAAATAATATTTTAAGGTTATTTCCAAAAATGCCTAGCCACAGTGCTGCAACTGTAAATTACCACATTTCAGTCCAAGGGCAGAGGCGATGCCTCTGCTATTCTGTATTTGTGCTGGAGTGTATATTTGTGAAAAAGAAAACCTGACATTGTCATTTCTTCTACCTGTTCCAAGAGACTTTGAAATTTCTTGCTATTTGGAGTAAAGATACAGAAATCTCTTTCTTTCCTATATGTCATTTCTAGACCACTAAATTAAGAAGCGTGATACAACAGGAATATAATAAATAATAAAGGATGAAATAAAATGAGGTAATTACAAAACTTATTCATATTTTGATTTGATTGATTAAGCCCCAGCAGTTTAGGGTCTGAACCTGAACCTACTGAAGTAAGTAGAAACACCTGCATTTTCAGTAGGTTTTGGCACAAATTCTAAAAGCTACAATGGAGGCTTCAGCGTAAGCTATTCACAAAAGAAAACATTAAAAGACCAAAAATGTATGTTTCACATTTCATCTATCAACCCTTAACATTTGTTTTGCATTTTTTTGCTGGAATTTTTAATCTGATTTTAAGATTAAAAATACAGTTCATATTCGCATGCATAAATTGTACATATCCAATTTATGTGTTGATGTATTTATTGTACATGTACAAAACAGGTGTTTTATGATATAATACTAGTCACATACATGTACAAGCACCTGTATATAGCTCATCTGATATTTGATCACATATGGAAATATCTGTACATCAGGCTTTTAAATGTTTGCTAATACTGAAAAAATAAAACTGATTGTCTGTGACTATTGTAGTAAAATGTTCTAATATGTATCCCAATACACTTAATATTTATAGTATGCCATAAAGCAGTTTCTGTGTCTAATAGGGTTCATATTTAGCGACAATCATCTCTCCCTTTTAATCTCTCTGGATGAAATCTTGGCCTAGTGAAATCCACTGGAGTTTTTATATTGACTTTAGTGAGCCAGGGATTTTATCCTCTAATGACTACAAAACACAGTCTTGTTTGATACTTATTTAATTTAAAAACTATGTGCTAACTACCAAAAATATTTAACAAACTAGGACTCAGTTCTTATCCATTCTCTGCCCCTCCAAATATACATTCAGATGTTGTCCTGAAATTATACATCCAAAAAGAGTTTTGCCATTAACTTCTCTAAATTGAATGTGTCCTTTTATGTGTAGCAGTTGATATAATTGATTTTTAAGAAAAAAGTCTTAATTCTCAAAATTTTACAGTTCACAAGAGACTATTACCTCCCAGCCCATAAACTTACATTACAATAATAAATTATTGTGCCTTCATGTGCTAAACATACATTTGATTCATTTTTTCTGCTGAAATGTCTTATTTTTTTATTTCAGGGTATGTATGATAACTTTCTGTCCTATGTGGGCTTTGGGAAATGTACTGCCGTTCTAAAAATTATGCTTAAAAGATTTTCTAGGTAAAGTTAGAAAAAATGGAAAGATTTTTAAACCACTTAATATGAACTTAAAATTCTAACATATACATATTTTTGTCCGTTAACTTTTCTAGTTATCTCTAATGGCAGTTTAACACTTTATAATTTGGGATCATAAGTTTACCTATCTTGCCTGGCACTACAAATCTTTGAGTTGATTTTGATCATGTTTGGCCAAACGGATTGGAAGATCAGATCATTCCACTATCTATTAATCATCTGAGTAAGGAAAAGGAAACTGTATAAGGTTTGCACAGAACCAGGGGCTCTGCATCCAGAACTTCCCAAACCTCAGTGGTGGGCTCTGGAGGGCACGTAGTGGCCCTATGATCATTCTGGTGTTCCACACTGTTCTCACATCCTGCTGTAGCCATCCTTTCTTAATGAATATTTTATTAATTTGAAGTTAAATGGCTATATGGATAGATGGGCAGAATAAAATAATCAGAGACTTGCTGTAGCAACTGAATATTTTAGAGTAGCCTCATGGAAGCGCTGAAGTTAGCAGATTTACACCAATGTAAAACTGGTATAAGTAAAGCCAAAATCCTGAGTCATACTCTTCTAAGGTCATGGACCTATCACTTCCAACTGTGTCTTTGTGAGTACAGACAGAAGTGACAATTTGTGCCCGATCTGGCCCCTGAAAGTGTTCTACAGCTGTGACCAAACAAGTGCATGACTGCAAAGCACTTTAAAAAGGCCTCATCACAAGAAAACCTGAACCCTCATTTCATGAGAGTTCAGGTGCAGACGTTACAAAATGGAGCAGCTTCAGTAACTTACGTCTGAGCAGACTCTCAGCCTTGAAGCTGTTTTCAGCATGGGAGGGAGGAAAGATAGCAGAGGAAGTTCAGTCTGGGGGGTTTTCAGCCTGTGCTGGAGGATGGGGTGGATGAATTGGAGTCCCCACCCCTGACCCTGAGGGGTTTGTTTGGGTGTTTTTGCAAAATTAGACCGATACAAAAAGTAATTTCAAATAGTGTTGATTTCTATTTATGCAACTCCAAGTACTTTAAATTATCAGATATTATAAAACTTAGCAGGGCCACACATTGAGTGTCCCATGAATGCCACAGACCTCATTTGAGGTACACTCTTGAGAGCCCTTAAATGAAAGTTCAGTCCATGTTTTGTTACTGAAAACAGAAATTTAGTAAAAAGGAGTCATTTTTATAAAACCAACATTATGGCTAGTCTCTTGAGAAGTCTAGGTTTAGGATAGTAAAGGCTGTGAAATGTAAGTACTTAAATAAAAGTTGTCTGATTTTCAAAGCCATCTACAAAGCCCATGATGGCTTAAGGACAGAAGTACAAAAGTAGAAGGTCACACAAAGAAATCCTTGAAAGCATAGGGACCCATTCACCTTTGCCCCCAGAGAACATTTTCCTAGACAAGAACAGAGTTAGAGAGAAACCAAGGGCAAACACCCTCCCCTTCACTCTACTTCAGCCTTCAAAGCGGGAGTGGTGCAACAGCAGAAGCCCTATCCTAGAAGCCAAAGCAGGAACAGCACTGCACTGTCTAGCCATCGGTCAAGCCAGGTGTAGGGAAATGGCAGGAGCAGCAGGGGTCTTTTGAGTCCCCCAGGGCAGGTAAGTGCAAGGCTACTCCTGCAGTGTCCCAACACTCAGCTTTTATAGCTGAGCAGCACAGGGCTTTTCCAGCTCCACTCCTACAGCTGGAGGGGGAGGTACAGATGCAACAAAACAGTGTTCACCCCCACCCCACCTTACCTTTTCCCCTTGAAGTTTTGCTAAAGGCATCAAAACTTATAGTTACACCTGTGAAGATGTAATTTCAGGCTGTGACATCCATGTAAGGTATTTGTACACCAATAAAGCAAATACAGATTTTTAAGTTCTTATCAAGTTTTTAATGATCCCTTATGTTACCATGTTTCCAAAGAAAAGAACTTGGATAAAAATCCTGAGGTAATGGTGGAGGAAAACTACTGCATTTACAACTTGTTTTGCAAAAGTAAAAGACCATAATAATGCTAAACGTGTGCAGATGAAAGGCCTTTGAAGTAAGGGTTATAGAGATTTCTGAACCTCACCTCATGCTTTTTATTTTAGCCTCCTTGTTTACTCATTTAAATTAACAGATTTTCCTTTCTGTACAGAGAATGGCTCCAAGTCTTACTTCTACTATAAATTATACTGATCCTACATTAGAGCCTGTAGTAACTGAAAACACAGCGATACGACAGAAGATAATAGATTCACAGTACAAATGCTATGAGAGGATGAACAGAGCTCCTCCCTATAGAAAGAAAGGTAAAAAAGAGAAAAGCATCTGATCCTACATTGACATGTTTTCTTTATCAGTGTAAAGGAACATTTCCTTCTGTGTGCTGATGCATAGTCTTCCTGTTAGCTTTCTACTTAGTATTAACAGACTTTACATGAATTTAACACCCTTTTATGAGTCTCAGGAAGGAAAGGCCTTAGAGTACTTGGTGAAAGTGAATTATCCTCTCACCATTGGAGATTATTCCTCTGTCACATAAATGAGGCATATTGTTGACTCAGTGTGGTAAGACTTAAATTGCTGCTGTTCATGCTTAGGGAATGTCTATTTCTAGGACTGTCAGTTCAGTAATTTTCATACAACTACTTCAGAGAGAAAATATAAATAAAAATGTCTCAAATATAGATGTCAATCTATTCATTTCCCTCAACTAATTTATTTTCCCATAATTAGTCCATTATATGACATCTTTCTGGGCTCTAATTTTCTAAATATTTTGCACCAACTATATCAGCACAAAGATTTATGGAAAAATCCAGATTGGGCCTCTTCAGGCATGTCCACTTTAGGTTTAAGCATGTTTAAAGGTTAGGTGCCAGACCCTAAGAAGTGTCAAAGAAATGGGGTTGAGCTCATAGGCTCTATAGGGAGTCAAAAGGTAGTTAGACATTTCTGAAGAGCAATTCAGAGAGCCCAGATACTGAATAGAGAGCCACACAAAGATAAGTAATAAGAATCATTAAGCAAAGGGGTGTGTCTGAACTCCAGTGCTTCTCTGGGTCTTAGATGTCTGACATTTGCTCAGATTTGCATTGTTCCTTAAGCACCTACACTAAAGCATTATTACATTTAAACATTAGGCTCCCTGCTCCAAAGGTTGAGTCAGTCAGACCCAGTTTGGAACTTAGCGTTCCTATACAGTCAATGGAGGGAGTTTGCAAGTACCTAAATTCAGGTTTAGGTGTACAGGAAACTTATATAGAGACTAGGGACTCATAGATGCCTCCAAAAGATCATTCAGTAAGCTCAGAGGCACCTTTAGGCAAACAACAGGAAATGCTAACAATACAGATGTGCCAGAATTCCTGCCCCTCTCCAGAGTTTAGGGCTTGGATGCATGACCTGCATGACCTTGTATAATTTACGCTCATTTTGAACTCCTAGAGCATAGTGCTTATGAAATTCCTTTTGTTGTCAGCATTGTTTATGTGCTTTGCATTGGTTAAAAAACAGAAATAACCCTAGCTACACAGAGTTGAATAAACAGGCATATTGTAACTACAATATAACAGGAACATCACTTTCTTTTACTCCTTTTCTGGTCCCATAAGCCTTGCAGTATTGGTGGGCCAGGTTCAGTAGAGGGGAATTTGTCTATTTGATAGTTTTTGGGGTAAAAAGGTAAGAGATGTGGGTTTGAATTCCCTCAAGATGAAAAGGGCCTAAGAACCCTAGCCTCCCACTACCTAGACAAATCTTCAAGCCTTTAGGCAAGTGGGAAAAAGATAGACATCAACACCAAGCTGAATGAAATGCTACCAGTGGGAATTAGGTGCATATTTTCCCCCCAGTCAACAGAAGCCTCTCCTTGCAGGGACTTCAGCAGCATTCAAATTACCTACTAAGCAACAATGAGAATTGCTAGGGAACTTTGGAAGGAATTGAGTTTCATGCTGCACCTAGACATGCCACCTAAAACACTTCGGAGCACGCACAGAAGACATATAGTTTAGATTTGGGTGGAACTGTGCAAAAACAAAAGAAGGGGTCCAGAGATTTTTCCCAACATGGATGAGTAACAGTTCCAGTATAGCTTGCATAGAACAGAATCTCCCTCTAGACTTTGACATCCCATAAAAGGGCTGGATTATCTTAACAGGACTTTAAATATCTTGGCTGCAGACAGGAAGGATCCCTTAGTACAGGAGTTGCAGATGAGAGCTGTAAGATGACATGCAGAGGAGAAGAGGACACCCCCATCCCCTCTCTAATCTGTATTTTAGGCAGCCTGGCAAGAGGGTGAAGCCTCAACGTGAAGAGGTGTGAAGATTCTGTATACTGCTGAAGTCCGTAGGGCAGCCTGGGAGTTTGCTATAATGTAGATAGGTGCCCAGGTCTTTCTAAGTTAGGTCTGTGACTCTCTAGTCCCCAAATTAACTTGTGACTGGTGCAGCAGAGGCAACCTAAATTCCCCTTGCCCCCAGGCTATGAATCATTGCACACAAAACCACTCTGAGTGACTTCTGGCAAAAAAAGTATTTTTTATTTTATATTTCTGAAATTGTCTTTCCTCTGTGGCAGGTATTATTCTATTCAAATTGTAATTTCTCTATAGGACCTGGGGGTTACAGTGGACAATAAGCTGAATATTAGCCAACAGTGTGCCCTTGTTGCCAAGAAGGCTAAGGGCATACTAGGCTGCATTAGTAGGAGCCTTGCCAGTAGATTGAGGGAAGTGATTAGTCCCCTCTATGTAGCACTGATAAGGTCACATCTGGAGTACTGTGTCCAGTTTTGGACCCCCACTACAGACAGGATTGGACAGAGTTTGGCAGAGGGCAACAAAAATGGTTAGTGGGCTGGGACAGATGTCTTACGAAGAGAGGCTGAAGGAACTGGACTTATTTAGTCTGGAGAAGAGAAGACTGAGAGGGGATTTAATAGCAGCCTTCAACAGTCTGAAGGATGGTCCAAAGAGGATGAAGCTAGACTGTTCTCAGTAGTAGCAGATGACAGAACAAGGAGAAATGATCTCAAGTTGCAACAAGGAAAGTAAAGGTTAGGTACTAGGAAAA